CCCCAAAACCCCAAAACCCCAAAACCCCACTTTTACACCCACCTATTGAATCTTCGTACAAACCTTCTATTAAACCTACAGTTACAGCTGTAGACATAGGTTCAGTTATAAGTACTCTAGATGGCCACTGGTGGGTTCTATTTGGTACTTTTTCTTCCTGAAGAGGTTGACTGTACGTGTACTGGGAGGTGCATGAGAGGAGAGGTTGTTGGGGGGATTTTGTAGGGAAAAGTTGGGTAGGGAGTTCTTTTGGAACTGGGGTTTTAGGAGGGTTGAGTTGGTAGCGTCGAAGTTCTTAATAGTGGGCTCTTTTTGGAGGAGAGAGGAGGATGAGGTGTTTAGGAGAGGGTTGTGGTGATGGAGTTTTGGAGGGGGTTGGGTATTTGTTGGGGGGTTTTGGGATGATTTTAGAATTTTTGAACGATTTTCTTTGGAGATACAACCATCTGTTTTAAAAATTATTTATGTAATTCATATCTTGGGACATTAAATATTGAGCCTTGGCTTCTAAGATATTAAGTCTCAGAAGAATTTTTAGACAATCTTTCTCTTCGCTGAAAGCATTCAAGATATCTCTGAAGCTATTTTCTTTCAGTTTAGACTGTGATGTAGGCTTAACTTGTAGTTCTAAATTTAATAGTTTATTTAATTTTGAAATAAAACATCATTAACTTCAAAAATTTTAAATAAAGAAAATTTATATTATAACCAAAAGCTCTAAAAGTTCTCAGTAGAATAAATATAGCTGTTATCATCTATCTGAGCAATAACTCACTTTTGAGCTTCTTCAGATCTCTAAGAAAAAATATCAGTAAAACCTATGGAGGATTTTCCTAAGAAATCCTTTCATTAAAGATTCATGCTAAATTCCTTACTATTAATCTTTTCAGGATCTGGAATTTCTATAGCCTGTTGATGGTATTCATAGCCAAATCCATTTTCTTCTCCTAAGTATTCAGCTTCTTCCAGATAATGTTTATAAGGAGTGTTCGAATTCCTCCAGTGCCTTACTTTTCTTCCTGCAGGTTGTCTTTTCTGATGTCGCCTCAGCATATTTCTCTTATCAGGAGAATCTTCATAGTCAGAGTTTATAGTGGAACTTCCTCCCTCTTTTTCTTCTTCAGAATCTTGATCTTCATGCTTAATCTCTTCGGCAATTTTATTCAGACTTTTAGGTTTGCTTTTTGCAACTGTACTTTGCTCCTGTTTACTTCACATCTTTCTGAGCATTTCCAATTCCTGTTGGGTTTGGTCAAGCTTTAATGTATTCTTCTTGATCTCATGCACGAGAGATATTTTGGAGTAATAACTATAGAGCATTCCGAGAACGGCAGCAATTGTGACTTCGAAAACTTCAAAGATACCACCAACTGTTCCGAACAGCTCAAGAAGAGTAAAGACTTTTCTTTCGTATCTGAAAGTATCAGGGCTTAAAGAGATGATAACGTTATAGAGAAAAGGAGTCTCATGAGCGTGCTCATCTGTGAACATTGTGTAAAGTCTCTCGTTCTTCTCTCTATCACTGATTTTGGTAAATTTTATTGGGTCTGGCTCTGAGAAATAAGGGAAGATTGAATCTTGCAAGTAAAGTTCTTGTCTTTCTAGAAAAAGATCCAAACGATATTTAATATTAGGATTTGATCTCCAAAAATCAATAGTTTCTTCATATGATTTGATTGGATTATCAAGATCGCTGAGTTCGATATACTTACTCTTTATAATAAGAGTAGTCTGAAACATTGCATACATGTTCTCAATCATAGTGTTATTTTGGCAATGTATACTAGCATTCCTGTCAGAGCAGATATTTAATCTTATAAAGATTCCTCCATTAGTCTGAGTAGAGTTTGAGAAATTAATAACTTCCTGTCCTTTCAGATTTATGCACCATTCCCTTAAAGTTTGGTTAGTTTTAGTGTTGAAGTTGTCGCCTCATTCCTCAGTGGGTATGATATCCCCGTTACTGTAGACAGTCAGATCCAAGAGCGAAGCAGCAACTTCATAGGTAACTGAAGTATTAGGCCCTGTGGGGATGATACGTGAGCCTTTTGAGGTTGCAAATTTTAGTTCTACCGAGTCAAATTCTGTAATAGTTGCACTAGTTGAGGTATATCCGGCCCCTTCTCTAATTATAGTCTGATTTATGTTCATATTTGATTTATTTAATCAATCACTTAAAAGAACTATTGCATAGATCATCAGCAGACTAAGAGCAATTAAGGTCACACATCCTCCAGCAAAATTGAGAGGCTTACTTTTAGATCTTGTTTGGAAAGTGATTGATTTTTCAAATCGATTGAATTTACTCATCACTAAAGCTGAGCATTCCCAGATTTTATAGAACACCATTTTATATTGTTTTCAATAAGTTAATGCCTAATAGGGGTTTTGGGGTTTTGGGGTTTTGGGGTTTTGGGG